CTATGTACTCTTTTCTATCGTTATAAAAACAGTTGTTACTTTCCTTACGAAATAAAGTAGTCCACGTACATCAAGGACATACGAATATATATCTCTCTCCATCGAACCTCACATAGAGCGAAGAGAGAACGTTAACAACCGGCACCAAGACAAAATAGCATTTCTTGCAATAATTCAAGTCGTGAGAGTCCTGCCAATAAACAATAGTACAGCACTGCTCAAAACTATAAGAAGAACAGACAGGCTTTCACTGTTTCAGTTTCATTTTCATTAATTTTTTTCGCTAATTGCAATGATCCATGAGTCCTCACAGACGCTTTCCAGTGTGATCTATCCGAAACTGGAATCAGATTTCGTCGTTTCGAATGTTAAATTCGACGGAATACATGCCTATTAGAGGTGTTCACAGGGCAGGATAGCACAGAGCAGGATAAGGTCTCTATACCCTGCAAATTTGAAAATTAGGTTTTCGAATTTTCATACTCAAAAATGAGCGTTTTTTTAGTCTTAGAAAGTCAAAAAAAGCAACAATAGACTGCAGAGGACGGTACCAAATCGATTTTGAGTTTTTCTCTATAGATCTACGTGCCTAGATAAAAGAAGAACAAGTCTTGAACCAGATAAATTAGAAGAAATTTTATTCATACGATCAGCAGAAAAAAATTTAAAAAAAAAATAAATGATATATTTTTTTTGTTATTGTAAAATGGGTTTAAATAAAACCATGATCTCTGATAAAATGTACAAACGTTTTTGCTTCTGGACTCGATTGGAAATGACAATCAAAACAGTATATCAATTCAGCAGGGTATACCCTGTTCTGCTCTGAGTAGATGGCGAATTTGAATTTTCAGAAAATTCCAAATGCTCATGCATTTATACCAAATGAGGTATAATAGTGAGGTATAAAGGTATAAGCTAGACCGAAAGAAATATACGATGAAAGTACAGAGGTATAGAGGTATAAGACATCGAGCCCTCAAAAAAAGACCTATAAAGCTCAATAACATCCAACCCCACGGCTACCCCTTAACACGCACTGAGAGAATACATCACCCCCAGGGACCCATCTCACCCACACCCAGAGGATAACCTACACACGAATCATCACAAGCAGGCTATCAAAAGAGTATCTTCCTCACAAGATTATAAGTGTACCCTCAAGAAGTACCCCATTCACCCACACTATTAGGGCACCTGCCTCATCCTCACTGCCAGAGTACCTCTCTCACCCTCAAGATAGGGTACCCTTCCCAAACGTACCTCTCTCACTCTTAAAATACATCTTTATCTCTAAATAACGATTTTAGGGCAAATTGATTTTTATTTAACGAAACTGATTTTTCTGCAAATTCAAATTACCCATCATATGCCTGCTCTGTCGTCTGTGTCTACAGGGTAGGACAGAGCAAGGTGCATTTTTTCTTCTTTACCTTTTTTACAACAGAGCAGGGCAGAGTGCGCAAAAATCACCTTGTATGCACCGCTGATGCTTATTAAAATTCATGTTTTTTTGCCAGCTTCAAATTATATGAACAAAGCAGTATTGTCGTATTTTCTGTACAGAAAAAGCATCCAAGTGGCTTGAAAGTTCTATAAATAGATAGAGGAACTCATTCTGAACATTTTTCTAAAATAGTCTTTCGAAACTGATCTATGTTTGGTTTTAAAATTACACTTTTTTGGTCAAGAGAAAATGGCTGGAAAACGTCAATTTAGTTCAGTATTTTGTGTGTCAGCATTAAAATATAAATAGAAATGCTCTTTTTAAGAACTGCGCTGGAAAGAAGGCATTTGTTGCTTCAAATAGTAGATTTTCGAACTCTGAGAAGCGTTTTGTTAGAAAGAAAACGATATATTGAAATTTACAACGATAAAAATCATCGGTTTCAAGCCATTTTTGAGACTGTATAGTGCTGTCTCTTTTGAAAATATCGTTTTCTCTCTAGCAAAATAACTCTCGAAGATCGGGAAACTATCATTTTGAAGCAACAAATGTTTTCTTCCTAGTACAATTCTTAAAAAGAGCATTTCCATGTATATTTTAATCATGACAGTCAAAAGAACACACTGAACTGATCTTTTTTGCAGCCATTTTCTCTTAACCAATAATATGTAGTTTTTAAACCAAACAGATCCATTTCGAAAGATTATTTTTGAAAAATGTTCAAAATGAGTTCTTCTATCTATTTATATAACTCTCAAGTCACCCGGATGCTTCGCTTGTACAGAAAATGCGACAATACTGTTTTGTTCTTATAATTTAAAACAAGGAAAAAACATGAATTTTCTCAAACTTAACATTCGAAACGGCGAAATCTGATTTCAGTTTCGGATAGATCACACTGAAATGCATATGTGCGGACTCATGAATCATTGCAATTCACGAAAAAAATAAATGAAAACAAAATTGAAACCGTGAAAATCTATCTATTCTTATAATGTTGAGCAGTACTATGTTTTGAAATGGTTTAATATTTTATACCTTTTTTCTCTTTTTCATTTTTACTGCCTTCTAATTCTTCGTCTATTTGAAATGATGCAACAAGTGAAGCAATCAAACATGTTCTCTTTCGTTAAGATATTGATTCTGACCTTTCATTTAATTCGTTCTTCATTATTTGAAAAAGATTCCGTTCAAGAATTACTTTTAATCGTCGAATTCGAGGATGCATCTTGAAACAAATAGCTAAGAGAGCACTTGGCCAATACAAAGCAATATCAAATAGGCTTAACAATTCACGAAATGTTTGAACAAATTCATTTTTACATGGACTAACATCGCTATCAAATGCCTCTAAATCGTAATCAAAGGCGATAAATCCAAAAATGGCTAGAAGAAGATTTTGAGTTTGCTGAACAATGTTAACATGTACATATTCATTAGGACTATTACGCCAAATATTCAATAATTTATCTGTACAATCAATAATTATATCAAAGTTATCAGTAACCTTACTATGACGCAAAACAGGTGCAATAATTGAAGCATGTCGTTTGAATTTATTATCTACAAATATGATCATAGACGAATTTTCTGCTAAAATAAAAAACCGAAATGAACCTTTTAGACCAATGAGCGCATTAGGATTCAAGACAGACGATTGTTGAATATATATATCACCTTGTTCATAGATATTTCGATTGGTAAAAATGTGTTGTACATCATTGATTCCACTTAGAACAATAACACGTCATGCGCCTAACCAGAATTGAAAACTATCACCAAAACGTTCCTTAAACGATAGATATACTTGAGGAAGGGATGTACCATGAATTACACCAGTTTGAAGTAAATTTCCGAAAAGAAATTGAGGTGACAAACCAGGTAATGGACCATGAAGAGTAAAATATTTTAATTTAAAATAGAACAGCAATAAAACGACAATAAAAATAGACAATATAAAAAGCATGATCATGTGTTTGATAAAGGTGCAAATATCTACATATTAATATTAACGAACATCAAAAGAAAAACTTTGCACCTATCTTGAGTCTATTTTTGTTTTCTTCCATGTACGCAGCGAGCACACAACAATAATAACAATATCACATAGGCAAAGAGTAGAACAGATAAGCAAGACATTGCGTATGGTTATTAATTTTGTTGACAACATATAGCAAATATTTTAGTTGATATTTTGCTTCGAATGATCTAAATTATTGAAAATTAAGCTGTATAATAATCAACAGAAATAAAAATTGTTGTCGTCATCATTGATCGTATCACTATTGTTCATATATTCCATATGTTCATTATCATCATTATTATTATTGTTATTTTCGTGAACATGATGAATTCTATTGTTGTCACTTTAGAGAGCACATTCTTTTCTATCTATTTTTTTCTTGTTAGTGTTAACTTCTTTGTTTTTTGTCCGTTTTCTTTGTTCATGTATCTGTTTTTTTTCTCGTACGTATTCATTTATTATTATTTTTCGTATCTTATTATCATTTTGCGTCTTTTTGTTAATTGTTGATTCGTTTATATCTGTCTCATTTTCACGCCCTCAAGACAGGGTGTGGGTGGGTGCGTAGGTGTGGAATGTGGGTGTGCGTGTGGGTGTGCGTGTGGGTGTGCGTGTGGGTGTGCGTGTGGGTGTGCGTGTGGGGTATGGGTACTGGATGTGAGTGTGGATGAGCGTGGGCGTGAGGTGGGATGTGGATCAAGAGGACATCAACAACAACAGCCACACCCTTTTTTAAGCAATTCGCTGATGAACAGTATTGGGTACTATCAAGATTCGATCTTACATTCAAACGAAAAAACACCAAATCTGAACTGTACTGCGTTTTGTTGATAAGTTTCGTGATATTCAAATGAATACCATTGACAACGATTGATGTTCGATAACTATACTGTTCGTCGCATGTCTTTTCAAACGTCCCGAGAGCTGCAGTGATGATTCTTTTGGGTGTGGGTGTGGGTGTGGATCTTTTCAATCAAATCAATACCAACATGAACTCTGAACACACACCCACACCCACATTCTCTTCTAATAGAAAAACAAATTAGTTCATAAATAATAAAACTTTAAATTATTTAACTTTAACTGCATATTCTAATGATTGTGTTACAACCAATGGGAAACGTTTAGGTACAAGAAAAAGACATGCATTATTATACAAGTGATGACATACCGTATAACATCACTCCAGTATTTATAACTTCGCTCAGGTCTTTAGAAAATATTTGAAAAATTCATTGATAAACAAACAACTTTTTTCTTTTACTCTTTTACGAATACTATAATTAAAAATCGAACTAGTAGAACAAGTACAGTTAAAATAACAATTGCTATAGCTAGAAGGGTGGGTGTGGGTGTTTGAGTATGTGCGAAGACGAGACTAAAATGCCATACCCACAGTTCCATCCACACTCGCACCCATACCGTGTGTGCACATACTAATGAGACATACTTCTCATCCCCTTTTGTTTGATCTTTATTCTCTACAAAGGCTCATTTTCTGAATAAGTTGTTTTAGTATAGAGGTATGCAAAAATTGCTTGCTCTTTCACCTGACTATTAATCAGCGAATATCTTCCTAATGACGTGAGAAAAAAATTCTGAAAACTTCAGAAGAAACTCTATGGCACGAGCTACATCTATGGTAGAATTTTCAGCGAGATCGGATTCGAAAATATTCCTTCCGAAAAATTGATCATCTAGAGATTTTGAGCAACGATTTGTATCATTTGGAAACAGTTTTGAACTTTTGATTTGATTATAAATGCATGTTTTCGGTTATGGGTTTTTACTTCGTTACGTCGCTAACAAAAGTGTCAAGTCACTAATGATTATTAAATCGTTTTTTTCGAAAAATCCAAGCATGCGCAGAAAAACAACAGAGAGGTTTCACAAGCTCAAATATTGTCTACAGATTGTACGCCTTAGTTCTCTCAATTTTTTCGTTGATAAGTAGTAATTTTAAATTAAAGTGCTCAAAGTGAAAAATCAATGTCGTTTTTTGTGTCACATCGCTAACGGTAGGTTTCTATTCATAATTCCTCTGAGCAAACCTTCCTGATGTTAATTCTTTCAGAGTATCTAGAATAACTCAACATCCATGCGAAAGAAAAATGTTAGGGTGTGGGTGTGGGTATCTAGAATATTTAAAATCACATTCCACACTCACACACACCCACGTACTCCATCCTTCAACTCAATGCATCTTTATTTTGATCAGTTTCTTGTAGTTTGCTATTCAAAATTCTATTATCTATTCTTGATTACTATGCACAATGTAGATCAAAGAACGCGTAATAAAACTATTAGGCTTATGTTATCTGCTATGTAATGTTCTTTTTGTCTCTTTTGTCATTGTTTTCATATTCTAAAGCATTTTCTTTTACTAACGATGCATCTTTTTTTTTCACTTTATCATATCAATATGACGTCCAAACATCGTTTTAACGTCAGCGTTTTGTTGTTGTTTTCAAAAAAAAGAAGAAAATTAATCATGAAACGTTATCAGTATAAAGAGAACAGATAGAAAGCAAAGATAGCTTCTATTCATATAAAACATATAAGAGAGATCACCAAAAAACAGTGATCACTTAATTAATAGATTAATATGGCGAGCAAGTATGATGTTGAAATAATTCCAACGATTCAACCATCCGATACAGCTTCTGGTGTTTCATCAACTAAGCTAGGACATATTTTCCAGCTCATTAAACGAAATTCCAAGAACGTGTTCTATATATCATTCGCGGTCGTCGTCATTTTTGCAATGATTGCTCTAGTTTTTGCAGTACCAATAGTTCAAGTGATTATTGGCTTTTTATATAAGAATTCATGTCCTATTAATCATTTAATTCCAATCTATCTTATTGTCGCCGGTTTCGCTACATTGATTCTACTGATCATTACATGTATAAAGGTAATATTCTTTTTAAAAATCCTATATTTGATTGAAAATAATAACGTTCGGATTCGGAGAGTCGATAATGTTTTCATATTGTATTGTCTCTCTTTTCTTAGATTATGGATGAAAAGTCATCATACTGGAGTATTTTACAAATTCTATCAGGAATAGTTTGTCTTGGTTGGTTCATAACTGTGAGTTTAAGTTCATTGTAAACTCTTACAAATACACAGTGTAAATCTTGTTCATTTAGGGAAGTGTTTGGGTGTTTCGAGCTAAAGGAAAGATTCAATATTATGATCGTTATGATGAAAGTACTTATTGTGAATATACACTGTTTAATTGTGCGTTTGGAACACTCTTCATTAGTTATGGACTCCTTCTTGGCCTTATTTGTAATGATGAAAAACATACAAAATGAAGACTCATTACATCACACTATTTTGTCGACTCTCATGTACAAATATTAAACCATATCATGCTAAGATTACACAAAAAATGATCATTTCAAATATATTCTTGTGCTCATTTACAGTATTTTCAAAAAAAATAACACTGTTTTTATTAAGATAGAATTTTATTCAGATGTTTGGGATGCGTTTAGAAGATCTATTGGTGTATAATTATTCTTCACAAGAAAGTACTTGCTATGTGAAACTAGGCATATACTATTCTACAAAATCTTGGATAGAATTCAAAAGAAAATATCGATAATGAATAGAAGATTATCATTTTTCGATCGGAACATGTTCGAAATCATTTCTTTCCGAAAGAAAAACCAGCTTAATGTAAAGTTGCTCATTAAGTGAATTCTAACAGTAAACAAAGTATTTTCATTAGACTTGATTTTCAATACTGTGTTGCATAATGTCTTTCAAATATATCCTTCGTTTTTCTTACGGATAAACACCAAAGAACATTTCTTCTTTTACTTTAAGTCTCTATGGTGTTATTACGTAGGGTGGGGTGTGGGTGTGGGTATGGGTGTTGGTTGATGATGAGTGATCCTATAGCAACACCCACACCCACACCCTTATCCGTTTATTTTCGTTTCGGGTGAGAATTAGGAGCCGATAAAACGTTAGATGTCACGGTCAATGATGATACACGAGAAGTGGACTGTCGACCGATGAAATATTATAATTCGACTTGTTAATGTGCTATTTCGCATCAACGCTCTACGTCAGCCGCATGATTCCATGATATTTCGGCATTGCTCTATTATCAATGTATTTCGATTGGGTCAGATGCACTGCGAATCTCGAATGTCTTAGCCAGAATGTTGAGGTGACTTGAGTGTCACTCTTAAATTTCAAACTTGAAAGATAAATGCAATAATCCGAAAGATTGAAACTAGTGAGTGGTCGTATAAGTGATTCCATTGTTACGGGATTATTGAAGTACGAAAAATGGGTGTGGATGTGGATGGAGATCTGGATATGGTTGCAGGTATGACATGGGTGTTCATGTTGGTTAAAAAATACTAAAAAAGAAGAGCCAGACCGACACTTACCCATAACTACATCCACACCCTCAATGTCGTTTTGATGGTAATCATTCTTTGTTTCAAAATCGAACGTTTGCAGTTCCACATCTAGATCACTTTGATGAAGATGTGGGTGGGTGTGGGTGTTGATCTTCGATTCATCAACCCACA